ATAGTATTTATAGTCTATATCCTTGTGATCTACTTTATAACTTTACCAGTTCTTTATGAAAAAAAATCTAGATCCTAGATCTATCTAGATCTAGAATCTATATCTCTAGACTCTAGAATACTCTAGATTATAAGTAGATCTAGTCTAGATCTTATAGATCTAGATTCTAGTCTAGATCTAGATCAAGAAATGTGTGACTTAAATGGCCCAATTACTAGATCTATAGATCTAGATCTAAATCTAGCTGTGATTCCTAAACTAATAGCCTACTTATTTTATTAGTATAACTCAACTGTAATGTAATTAAGACACTCTTAGGCAGTAAAGAATAGATCTATCTCTAGATATCTAGAAGAGTTTTTAATAAAATAGTACCAGTTTGAAAATATAATCCAAACCACAATAATAATATTTAATTGTACCTCTGGCCCTCTTTATTTTAGCATGTGTGTAGTAACTTCACTGTTTTACACCTATTGGTTCATAGATCAATTATTATCATCATTGTGACTGTTGATAGTGTCACTTTGTTATGATAATTGATTGTTTAAGCTAAATAAGTATGAATAATAATAATCTAATGATTTAATAATTAGATCTTCATTTATACAAACAATCACAATATTGACTCAGTCTAGACTTATGTAGATTTAGGTAGATCTAATTCAGCTTTGTGTGTAACTATGGTGTGGTGAGAGTTCATTTATTAATTTAATTCAATACCTTTTTTAAGGCCTATTTAGTGAAGTTTAAAATGTATTAAGGTCTACTTTTTACACATTCAAAAAATATTATATTATAGTTATGCCTAGATATATATATATATTTACTAGTCATAAAATAAAAACTAAGAATTCAAGGAGATCAATACCAAACACATCAAAGTTTTATGCCAACATCCAGAATTTGTTAGCATTTAGATTAGATATTGACTGCAATACCGATTCAAAGTACAAATTGTTTGTTTTATTGTTTTAGACTGACTAAAATCTCTTAAACAACAATCAAGCTTGTTAGTTATAAAAAATATATTTAATTTAAATATTTATTGCCTTGTTTCCCCCTATTCTCATTGCAAGTTCACACTACCAGTCCTGTTTTTATAGTGAAGTTTAAATAGATCTAGTTATTTTGTACCTACAAACTACAATCTACATGTAGATTCCATTAGTTAACATGATTGATTTTAATGCATACTTCACTGCATGGCCATCATAACATGGCTAATAATTGTGTGATCATTTGTTTATTCATGCTACTAATAAAAAAATATTAAGTGTCTGGTTTATTGTCGCTTGAGTTAGATTTAGATTTAATTCAAACTGAATCCAGTTTAAACAATGCTCAGTGTTTCATTTTTGTGTTATATAAAGTAGAAATGTAATGAACAGTAATGGCAGAAGTTTTGTGCATTAAAAACCTGCTTTAAACATGTTTAAAACTACACTACCTGTGCATATTTTCATCCTACCAAAGAAATGTGTTGCTATTTAAACCCTAGCACAGGCAGCATAATTTTCCTCAGCTGGGTAGATTCCAGTTATTTTCATGCTGACTTCCCTTTGCCAAAAGCTAGAAATAAGATCTGTGAAAAGTGTACATTATTTTTACTTTAACCTCATGTTGCTACTTGTTGTGTAGTATGCTGTTTAGCTTGTTTAGCTTTTATCCTATCTAAAAAGTTGTTTTTGAAATGTGTATTTGTTCTTTAAAAGATAAATGCGTTGCTGTACCTGGGGTAAATATTGAAGCCATTGTTTAGGTTCCAGTGTATTATTATTATTTGACCATTTGGTATTTCAATATCATGTGTCATATTGCACATATGACTAGGACATACATTATAATTTATATGTAGAGGAGATTTTTACTCAGAGTATCTATATAAAGCTGATATAAGAGTGCATTGTTTTTATTGAAGATTTTTTGTTGTTTCATACGAAAAAAAAGAGTTTTGTTAAAGTCCAATTGGGTGTTAATGATAGACGAGGAATGGGCTATCACTCAGCGACAGCCTGAGATCGATAATTACATTCCGCTCCCGCCACCAAAGCTCTTTTAGGGAAGTGACGGGGCCGTGCCCGGTTGGATATTGGCTGCTGCTGGCAAGTCCGACCAGCAACTTGTTGACTCGGTGTGTGTGTACTGACACGCTGTTCACCTTTTTAGATTGTGTACACTTCTTGATTGGATTAGATAGTAGTGTACATTGAGCTTGTAAGTACAATGCCATAGATATAGATAGAACTCACAGAAATGGAAACACTTGTAGCTGTGTGCTGAGCAGGGTAGCTAGTGTGTGATACAAACCACCCGGTAGGCTACCTGTTGTGGCATTCGTGAGAATATAGGCCTCTGTTAGTATTTAATCAGCAGCGCCATCGCAAGTTTTATATCTCCACCTTTGACACGGGCTTGATAGATATGACTGGAATAACAAAGCAGCCAGTCGTTTCTATGTTACACTCATGCTTCCAGCCCCCTCTCCCCCCTCCACGACATTCGCTATGCTTGTTGCTTTTAACTGTTGTCACGAGAAATGAATCTACTCCTGTCACTAATGGCTTCCCTTTAAAAAAGTCGCACAATTTCACGAGGCCAATGTTCTCTAGCATAGACCATAAATCAAATAGGTGTGGGCCACCACCCTTCCATGACGTATGCTTTTTTCTGCACCACCTTAACCGGCTTGCAAACTTTCGGTTGGTCGCTGGTAAGCCTGGAGGTGGAGCCTCCAAGGTCCCCATTCTACAATATTTTTGTCCTGGTCACGTGTCACAATAAGGCAAGAAAGGTAGGGGTGATGACAAAAGGAGCTGTGGTTGTCAAATCTGTGCTGTCGGGGGTTTTATTTGTGGTAGGGGTGGGGGTACAAGCATACACACAGCCTGGTTTTTGACTGGGAGGGGGTAATGCCGCGGTGGTGTTTGATTTTGAAAATGGGGGATAGAGGGAGCGTTATACTGTAGATTCTATGACAAAACTAGATGGCATTGACATGAAATTGGCAGTCTGTTGTTTGGGGCCCTCAGGAAAACATCTTTTTTTATCAGCTGGTCGCATCTCGCCGTCTGCTCAAAGATGTGCCTAGTGTTGTAGTCTGCTTATATACAGCATCATTTTAGCCCGGCTGGTCCCAATGTGGTAGAGCTCATCAATACATTGTTTAGGAATTACTTGAGCATCCCCTGGATTTTAAAAAACAAACCTGAGCTATTTGTGATATTCACTTTTTTTTTCTTTTGGCTGGTAATTGTTCTCCTTAATTAGGAGAGCAATTCACACACTTAAACAGCAAAAATTGATTTGTTCAATATGGTAAGCCGATTTTAAAATACTTTTAAATTTAGTCTATTTTAATGTAAGACTTCCAATCAATTTTCTCTTGTTAAGATTTGTATACTCTTTTCGCTTACTCATGTGTGTACAAAGGTTAGTTTACACTAATTGATTGCTGAAGCCAATTTCTTCGTCTATAATGAGTCTTATTTAATTGCACGCGAAACCGGGCTTTAAAAAGATTTTTATTGTCCTGCGATGTATTCTGTCTGCTGTCTTGTGTATCTGCAATGTAAATCGATTGTGTCCAGAACGAATTGTGTGCTCTCCGAGACGTAGAAACGAAGAGAAAATTATACGGAACTACAACAAACACTGTCCCGTCTCTAAAGATTGGACACGCTCAATAATTGGCTAATTAGCTCTCTTAGTGATCTTCCCCATGCTGTAAAGACTTGAAGATGATAATTAATTACACGCGCACCTTTCATCCTCTCATGAATAATCAGTCGCGCGGAATCACCCTTTGTGCAGAATACTAATGGTCAATTTGGTTGTGACGTCAGAGCGTCTAGTTTAATGGGGGACTTGAATTGACCAGTGTCCACTTTTTACTCGGCCGATCATTAAAAAAAAAAACTAGCTGTAGAATTTAGATACACGCGGGTGTATCCGATATTTGTCTAGTGTATTGTCTGTGTAAAATAAAACTTGTATCAATTCGGGAGCTATACTATCCAGGGCCCTGTACTCGAGTGGGCTCCACGCAGTAGTGGGTAGATGATTACATGGCCTTGTTTGACTGGCGCTGCCTGTCATGTTTCAGTGGCCCCACATCGTTAGGGGCATTATCTGCTTGACAAACCAATCAAGATTCCACTAGACCAAGTTTGGCTGGGCATAGCTAACACAAACGCCAGAAATATGAATACATGTTCAAAATATGGACCGTGCTGATGACGGCATATGAATACATTTTAATTGGCTTCTTTTAAACCGCATCGAGTTTCCTGTAATTGAAGCCGTACTCGACCGTACGGTCCACTACGCTTAATGGTATTGTATTCTACCTCGTTTCCATACTTACAATAAGGCTTCTCGGTCTATTTTTTTTATTACGGTTAGCCCCCTGGACCGGTCATTGCAATGTGTCTGGCCATAAATCTTGCGAGGGGAGGGGAGGGGCGGGCGCTTAATATCAGCTGGTTTGTTACAGAAAATGTCGAGATCAGTTTGCGGCTAGGGCGTCACGGTCGGTGGTTCTTTTATGGTTAGCCTTGGCTAGTGGGGCCAGTTTTAGGTCGTAGGTACTATATAGGTGGTCATTTGATCTGCACCATTCTCGCTCTGACCATTCGGTGTGTGGACGTCGAGGGTCATTCTTAGACATGGAGTTTCTGTTGGACTTTCCTTTCACCGAGCCGTCATTAATGGATTCACATCGTGTATATTTCTTTTTTATTTGTTTTAATTTTTTTATTTATACTTGTGGTTTTTTTTTCAAGTCTAACTTGTGATAGGTTACTGCCTGCTATTAAATTGTTTATTTAATGTGGTTTTATATTCCAAAAATGTAAAGCTATGTTGGATGGATTACAATACAGGCCCTATTATGTATCGATTTGTTTAGCTGGTATCAGTCAAGTGTGGATGTATACACCAACTTGCTGTGGCAGCGTTTGGCCGTGTGTTTAACCGAATGCTCTTGCTATCTTCTCCAGGAAACCGACGACAGTAACTTAGCCTACCGTCTAGGAACTCTGTGGGCTGGTATGGATCTAGACACAGTCATTAAATGTGAGCCAAACAGCCCTCTCGGCCTGGGACGGTGCAACCAGCCCAACTTGGACGACAGCTTCCCTCGGGATGTCTTCGCCTACGACCCCTCCCACGACGACTACGGGTCGGACCGTTCCTACCAGGGAGACAGTGCCGACAGTGGGAATATATCCCCGTGTAGCTTAGACAATATCAAAATCGACTTCTGCTCCACTACGTTTAACACTGAGAACGGTGAAGGCACTGACGGAGCTAAGAGACTTTGTCTTGTGTGTGGTGATGTGGCCTCTGGATATCATTATGGTGTCTCCTCTTGCGAGGCGTGTAAAGCATTTTTCAAAAGGACAATTCAAGGTAAGCTTTTTGACACTTGACTTGTTGATTTTGGTTGTGAAAGATGTCTTTTCAACTAGATTGGGGTGTGTTCAAACAAGTGGTGGGGGGGGGGGGGGGGGGAGGGACAGAAATGCTCATCAGTTGCTGAAAATGTGTGGGCAAATTTGAAGTAACCCTTGCGTGTTAGTTTTTTAAAAGTCAATTATTTTTTCTTCTCTGCATTGTTGGTAGAAACGGTGTATAAAACAAACAGGAGTAGCTTTAAAAGTGGCAAAACAACTTAGCAATGCAATTTTGCTCGCACTCTTGACTAAACTGAAAAGACGCGGATATGAACTCTAGGCAGATGAAAGGTTTTCACCTTTTTTCCCCTTTGAAAAAAAATTGAAAGCCAGGTTAAGAAAGCCTGTATGTGTGTGCGTGTGTATGTGTGTGCGTGTGTATGTGTAAACACGGGAACTGCTTGGACTGGTAGAACATCTGCCTGCTGGGGGCTGCTGCTTATACACCACAGTTTGTAAACATCCCTTCACTAACGCAGTTTGTTAAGGGAGGGGGGGGGGGGGGAGGATGGCCAAACCTTGTCCCTCATATTTAGGATAGTGTGGTATGGTGTCCTGAAGTGTAATTAACTAGCTGTAGGTATCATGAGTGTAGAACAAATGAAGGTCCGTGTAGAAAGTTAAGCGTCCTTAGATACCTGGTGTAATGTATGTACAGCAGCTGTTGACTGGAAGCTCATTTATCACACAACATTACAGGAAGTCGAGCTTCCTTCAGGCAGGTCCTTTATGTATGATGAGGATTTTTGCGGATATGTAAACCTCCTTCCCCCTCCCCACATTTTATGTCCCATATTTTGTTTTGTAAGACGGTTCAGACCAGTCTGTGTCAAAATTTGAATAATTTCACGAGCAATAAACCATGTGCTAACATGAGTCGAATGAACCAATATTGCAAGTACGAGTTAAAACATCTACTTGCTTATTTTTTCTTTAAAAAGTTTAACCGTGTTCTTATTTCTTTGGCTCTCTGGTCGCATGAAATATCTCCACGTCTTCATTGATCGTATTTTTGACGTCATTAGCCGGCTTTATAGTGTACACGTCCGCGGCGTTCATTCAAGATATGAAGGGGTAGAAAAAAGCAAGCCGCGATCGCATTAATTCCAGTTGCCTAACGAGTCACGGGGCAACGTAAGGGTGCGCTCACTAGGTGTATATTTTGGTAGGCAGGTACAGGGAGTAGATTACAGCCGTCTGTGGCTACAGCTTCTGCTTTACCTAGCACGCTATACACAACGAAGCACCCACTGCCCGGCTTTTTTTCTCTCTTTATTGCTCGATATTTAGTTGGCGCTGTCAGCTCTCCAGATTATTCGCGAATCACCACAGGATACATTTAGAACCACGCTCTCACCTAGTTATTATTAGTCGTAGCAACCACCCCCGCCCCCAGCCTCAATATTAATGTTGTTCTAGTCTCGCATTAATGGTAGCGGGTGTTGTGTAAGGCTAATGTTCTCAGGGTTTATTGCTTCAGCCCAGACTAGCGCCATTGTTGAGACTGGTTAAGTAACGGCGATACCGTGTGTAGGAACTCAGCAGTCACTGAGTACAACGGGCTATTGATTCGGTTTGTGGCATGATTGGCCTATTGGGTGTATTAATTACTGAGTGAGATTACGTAGTTAGTCGTTGACTCATTCCTTCAATCATCAACACTGTATAATATACGACCGCGAGATATCTCCCCCCCCCCTCACACACACACACTTGTATGTGTACGCTACAGCCCCATTTCCGTTGACTGATGCAGTGGAGAGGATGCGCCAACACTTGCTATAAATGAAACGAGCAGATCTGAGCACGTAGACAAGGTTCAGGCATTGATCCCGTGTTTGCCGTGCGATCATGTCTGAAACTAATCAATACAGGGGGGGGGGGGGGGGGGGGTTGCGTGGTTATCACGTGATCTAAGACCGGCCGGCGTGGGAGGGAAGGTGGTGGGGTGGTTGTTGGCCTTCTGTTGAAGGGTTAATGAAACATTAGCACCAGCAGTTTAAATCTGTGGCGAGCTGAGTAGCAAATAGGGAGACGAGACGTGCTCAAATGTTTACAACACCACTCTGTTGATTCACAGAACAGCTTAACCGTTTTGGATAAGATTGTACATTATTGCTGGGAAAATATTGCTTTAGAAAAAAAAGTTAATGAACTCGATATTGGGTAAAGCAATTTATTCAAATCTACAAGTACTGTACGCTAGGCGATGTAAAAAATACATTAAAGATTGCATCACCTTCTACTAGACAGTTACTCTGTACTCTGTCCCGTTCAGATTCGTACTGCAGTATCGACCCAAGTCAAATAAAGACTCGATCGATGCGGCTAAAAAAAAAAAACAGCTGACAGAATCCACGACGAAATCGATTTCTGTTTTATAACAGTGAATTCTTTTCATTGTCGTTGTTTTATATAGAAACACTTTGTCGTAATGTTAGAAATTACATGTGCGTAGTAACTAATAGTGACTAACTTCATTTTATTAAGAACAATCAACAGCAAGATTATGGGAAACATGACAGTTTTAAGTTCGATCATTTTATTAAATATCGTATTGTATTATCGAGATTGTTAAGGATACACTGCTATGAATGTTGATGTTGTGTTTTAAAAATGGTAGAAAAACAGGCAGGTTATAATTATGTCAATGTACAAGTATCCTTCTGGGTGAGAGGTTTTAAACACATCCTGTTAGGTGAGAGTGTTTGGCCATCTATTGAGTCGACTGGTTGACACCAGCCTAGTTTCTCCACTCTGCTCAGATGAAGAGCAATCTGGAGCGGAAACGGGAGATGATTTATTACAAAGCTGAGGCCTCCTACATAATTAAGGCGAGCCTACAGTGATAAGGAAGTGGAGATTTTCTCTTCAGGAAGCTTAAACTTAGATATATGTCATACTGCAGTAAAAAAAAAAAAACAAGCAGTGAATGTAGACAAAAGCAGAGACAACCCTACCCAGCTGGTAATTGATGGTGGAAAAAATAACGGATTTGAGTTGAGTAACTAGAGGGGGGAGGGGAGGTTAATAATAGAAATGGGTTGCTTGCACTTTTGACACAGTCACGACAAGCCCACTTGAAATAATGCGTTAATTTCAGGGTGTTTTTTTGTTAGATCACTTACCAAGCTTGTTGTATTTGGTAAAGAAACATTGAAGATCTTGTTTTGTCTTTCAGGTAATATAGAATACTCATGTCCAGCTAGTGGCGACTGTGAGATCACAAAACGTAGGAGGAAGGCTTGTCAGGCTTGCAGATTTCAGAAATGTCTGACTGTTGGCATGTTGCGAGAAGGTGAGTAACTGTACCTCAATGTTCACCTGACCTACATTCATCACTGTGTCGTGTATGTGTGTTGATTGCTAACAGACAGGGTTCAACACACTCTGTCATGTATGTGTTGATGTATTTGTTGTAATTGGAACTTGAAATTGCTTGCTAGACAGTTCTCTGTGTACACAACTCCCTAATCCCCTGGCATGTCACTTTACATACTTGTGTGGCGCTAACAATAGAACGGGTCCTTACACGAGTACCACCTGATTGAAGGAGAGATTGAACTCTTGAACTGGACATGGCTTTCTTGGGTCAATCAAATTTTAATATTCAACGTTCACCATAAGAAAGGGGTAGTTATATAGACTTAAGCTATTTATAAACTTGGCATAGATTGGGTACAAGCTTGTGGGTACTTATAAGATTTGGTCAGTCCAGTGGCTAGTCTGTTGTGAAGAAGGGAACTCTAGCAGACTTTAATTAGGTGTAAGACTCAAGTCTGGTCTGTGGTGGGATGCGGGTAGACCATCCAAATTGCAAGTAGCTGTAAGTACATGATGTTCGTATCTTCTGGGTTGGTCTTAGAACAACATTGTTGTTTGTTTTGGTACTGCTGTTCTGGATGCTTGGGTTGGCTTGTAGTTAAACTAATTTGGTTGACTCATCCTGTTTTTTTTTTTTACCAAACATATAAATGTTAATTGTGCTTTTGTTTATCTTTGAGATATTTGATTGACTAAATAGTTGGATGCTACACGTGTAAACTACGACCAAATGACCTGATTGGTTGTGTGCTGGCATCTAGTCATTTGTTTAGTCGCTGGGTGGTGTTTTATTTGTTCTGTGAGAGTGTGTATGTGTTATGGATGGGGAGTATTTACCCCCCCCCCCCCTTATCGATTGATTTCTCTTGCCAGTAGAGAACCTGAAAGGTGGATGAACTGTAAAAAAAAAAATTCCTGCCCATGTCAAAGCGACCTTTCACTTTCAATAGTTTTTTTATTTTATTTTAGATTAACCTAAGCTACTTAAGTGCTTGTCTGGTCAAATGTGATTTTTGTATTTGACAACTAATAAATAATCGCTAATGCTACGTGAATTGGCTTGGGAAAAAATGTGTTGGCCCAGTTCCAAGCAATCATGGATTTTATAATAGAAATGGTTGCATAATGTTTTGTATAGACAACACAGTTTTGTTATGTTTAATTTTGTTCTGATCGTGCCAAGTGTTTTGGTTAACACCTTGACAAACTGTTCGGGTAGCTGAGCTTCTAGTGTTTGTAGCTACAGCTGGGGGTCACATAGAGCAGCTGTTGGGCCATCACTACATATGTAACATATCCCTGTTTATGGCCCCACCAGCTGTACCGACCACAGCTTGACACTCGGATCTCATTCAGCTTCCATAGCACACCTCGTCACGTGGGACCCGTCAAGTTAACCTAATTGTCGGTCATTGCCTAACTAGTTGACCGTGCCCTAGTTGAGCATGGCCGAGGTTTTATAGCGGCATAAACCTTGTTTGAAGTTAATCCCGTAGCATTGTTCCCGCTGACACAAGGACGTCAGCCTGGTCCTAGATCATCCCCCACCCCAGGTGACCTCGCCGAGAGGGCTGGCTCGTCAGGGACAAATCCTACAAGACAAATCGTAAGAAAGATGGGAGGTCGTGTGTACTGCTATCAATCCATGTCCTGACGTCAGGACCACGCCCTCCCCCACCAAGATTGGGGGGACGGTCGCACTAACCTATGTGTTTTTTATGTTGGCCGCGACCAATATTTCAACTTGTTTTCTACCGTGTCAGGGCCGTGATCGGGTTAGACCTACTGCATATTATGTTGTTAGGTCAAACATCTGGGCGTTTTTCTTTGTTTTATTTTTGCCCATGGGACATTGTCCATTTGTCTAGCGGCTGTGATAAACTAGAGACTGTCTTGGCTGGTAGTGGAAGGCTTAAAGCTTGAGTGTCCATAGAACCCAGGGCCAGATGTCACGTTCATGACGTTGTTGCTAGAAGCTGACCCGCAGCTTGGTAGTCGCTACTTACAGGGTCATCTCATCTGTTTGTGACGTCACACTAGTGACGTTAAAAGGCGGCGTCTACGGCTGTAAAAAGTGTTGTTTTTAATATTCGGGGCTCTAGTCTGATAAACAGTTTATTTTGTCCAACTAAGTCTGGCCGGCTAAACCTTGATCGATTTGTTTTGAACTCACCAACAGGCACAGACCATCGCGGTCTCGTGCACGCCCGGTTTGATTTCAACCAGAAAAAAAACGAACTAGGGTGGCAGGTTTTTTTTCTTCTCTCAACCCAGTGAGGTAGGTGTGGGAACGGCGGAGGATGAGCTCGTTACCCTCTGGTATTGTTGGCATTTCCGTCAGGAAGGGGTCCGCCCCACCACCCCCGTCTTGGCGAAAGTATTGATTGGGGAAAGAACGTGTATTTCTTTGTCTTGGTCTGGCGGCTGGGTAGTCCTAAAGTAAAAGTGTTAACATTGCAGCTCCTGTCGTTATTGATGCCAGTTAAATGCCAACATTTGACGGTTTGTTACCCGGCCTAGTCCCATGACGTCAAACGATTAGCAATCAATTTAAAACAAGCCATTAACCTGACATGTTTAATTTACAACACATTATCAGCAACCTGATGTATAAAACATTGTTGTAAATGTTGGCTCGCCCGCTTTTATAGTCGTGTATTGTTTTAGATGGTGAACACTGAATGTTGGGAGAGTTGAATGCTATTTGTGCTGACCGAGCTGTCAGGGGATAGGCCGGTAGAACATTTATTAGCCATCACACATCAACCCTCGCGCCATCTGTTTGATACGGTATGCGCACGTGCGTGTGTGTGTATCCACGTGTTGCAAGCACTCACTCACACGTGGACACGGCCAGAATAATGTCTCGCACTTTAGTCCAGACCAATTCCCAGCGTGACGTCATCTCCTGGGGGAGTAGAATCCAATCATTTCATTTGTCTGAGCACCGGACTCCCGGGCTTGTTTTAATTAATTACTGTGCTAATGAAACACTTTTCTAAATGTTTTCAGGTGTCCGTCTAGATCGTGTCAGAGGTGGAAGACAAAAATACAAACGTAGTTCAGACTGTCAAACACATGTACAGCCCATTATACCAATGGTCATAAAGAAGTCATGTTTAGAAGGTGGGTAACACCATACCATGTCAACTCTTAGAAACAATAGCTGTCCCATTCAACAACTGGTACAACACCACAGACTCTCAACACTCTCACCCCCCCCCCCCTCCACTACCAACTCTCAGCACCCCCTCCCTCCACTTCAATTTTCAGCATTCCCCCAGCACCAAATGACCAAATAAAAAAAAGTGAATTTCCTGTAGCAGATATTTCTAGGTAACTTGGCCATCAATGAGTTAAAATAAGTAGGCTTATCTCTAAACTAAAAAAATTGGTTTTATAAGGCTGAATTTTGGTCTGGTTTTTTTTCTCCTCTCAACTCAAACAAGAGCACCACTCACCACCCTTCACCAATCAAATAAATAGTGATAAAAAGTGAATGACGAAGCTTTTTTCACAATGTCCTCATCAAATCACTGATTTGTTTATTAGCTTTTAGAAAGGAAGCCTTGTTTAATTTATGGTTGTATCACTGGAGTAGTTAATTAGCTACTGTTGATTGTTTAGGTTTATTGTTTGATTATTATATTGTAGTTCACCTACAATCTACTTGACATAATTGGTTCATTGCTTACGTAAATGCTGGCAGAAATATATGGCCTCAACCTTGGCATATTTATTTTAAATGGTTCATCAGTGAAAGCTAACCTTAGGGTTTCCACTTATGAATACAGCACTATTAGGTTCTCAGTGGTAGAAGTTGACACTTAGATACAAGCTCTTGAGTCTTGTTAGGTTAGTTAGTGTTGACTTCAATTTCTCAAGCTTTATTATGTTTGTTTTTTACAATAATGTAAATAAGTAAAAAAGTTAAATACATTGGCTTTATTAATTAAAATACCCATCTATAACAAAATGAATTGTTATAACTAGAACTAGCTGTACTGAATGACACAGCTGTCCACGATACCTTTAGGGAGATGGTTTGAAAAGTTGTAGACTGTGATGCAACTGTGTGTACCAGTTGATCTAAAACAAAACATTGGGCCTACTCTAGCCTATAAGGTTGTATTTATGCCACCCACTCCCCTATTGCATATAGAGTGAACTAAATTTATCTCAAGAAGCACTTAGCCTAGTCTAAATTAGCTGGAAATGATAAGAACTCTATAACTGCAGTGCAAAAAAATAATCTGGTGCTATAATTTAACGATGGCCAATTTAAATCTGGGCTATATTTAGTAGTTGATGGATTAGTCATAAAGCTTGTGTCCCGACAGACACCATAAACATTTTATTAGGGCTATCAGAGTTTGTTTAGTTAGCCATTCAAAACAATTTTTGGCCCACATTACAATTATTTTGGTCTAATTTTTCTTCTTACCCATTTAAAAAATTCTGAATGGAATTTTTCTTACTGTATAATGTAGTTTTAATATTTGTTAATCTTTTTTTTTCTTCATAAATATCTGGTATTGTTTTCTTAAAATGTTGAGCAACTCATAATTTTGACATTTTTTAAATTATTTTAGTTGCAGACAATAAAATCCTGACAATGTTGCTAGCACTAGAGTCACAGATGGAAGTATTACGGGCCAACACTGACACAGCTATGGATTCAGATGTGAAGTTTATGGCTGCGGCATCTGACCTTGCTGACAGGGAGTTGGTCATGACCATCAGTTGGGCCAAGCAGGTTCCAGGTGAGTCAACACTTGCCTCAGTTAGTCATCTTGTTTGTCTGGCTTGTTTGACCAGAATATTTTTAAAAATTTTGTTATCAGCTTGTTTAACCATATTATTTTTGTCCTCAGGTTTCTCCGCCCTGTCCCTAGTTGATCAAATGATGTTGTTACAACATTCTTGGCTGGAAATCCTTATGTTAAGTCTTGTCTTTCGCTCCTGCCCTTACAAAGGTCAGATCTGCTTTGCAGAGGACCTTCAGATATCCGAAGAAATGGTAGAAACTCTAAACTTTCCTTCAGAGCTGGATGCTCTTGTACGCAAGCTTAGTAAGAAATTTACGCACCTCAATGTCAGCAAAGATGAATTTGTACTCCTCAAGGCCATAACACTTTGTAATATTGGTAAGTTGTGTAAGAAAATGTTGGCACATAGCTTGAATGTAAAGATGTTTATAATAGATTCTCTTGTATTTTTGTTTAGAAAATAATTTGTTATTGAATTTGTCGTCAGATGTTGTAGCAGAGCTTGGGGAGTGTGTGGCGCACCTACAGGACCAGCTGCAAGATGCTCTCTCAGACTGTGTCAAGTCTGTCTATGGCCAGAACACTAGGCGTCTGGGACAGCTGTTCCTCTTGCTGCCATCCATAACACACATCAAGCTCCTGGCCAAACAGTTCTGGTACGACATGAAGAAAGATGGCCGCGTCATGATGCATAAGCTCTTCCTGGAAATGCTGGATGCAGACTCCTGAGATTGGCTCAACTGTAGGGAAAGCTCTTGTTGCTGCACATTTCAAAGGCTGGAATGTACATATTCATCATCTAAGTTTCTAGTTCCCTAGTGTAGTCATGCTGTAACCTGCCTTAGACTAATTAGCTAGCCACAATGTTTTAACCAAGCAATATTTTTGAGGAAGAAAAAAATTATGGACTGAAGAAATGGACAATACCACCAGCCTTTCATCGACTACGAAACAAAAGTAATTGAAATCAATTTTTCCCAGCAAAAAAAAAAGATGGTAAGGCGTCATTAGTCACGTACTTTTGTATTGAGCCTGTGGCCAACCATCCAATGTGAAGTTTTCTCAAGAAAATGTATCAATGAAGGCAGCCAGGGTCATCTCCCTGTGTAGGCTGTTGCTAGTGGGTGTCCTACAGCACAATCATCAAACAGGAGATGACACTTTGTTTATTTTGGTTTTGTTTTTGAAAACCACTCCACTCAAATTATCAACGATTCAATATTTTTAAAAGGGTTTTGTTTATACCTAAATTCAAATGATTTAAGGCATTTTGGCTAAAACACTTGCCATGCATTATACTTCATTTTCTGTCAATGACTTGCATCTTCAATATTTAAAGGGGGGTAACTGGTCAACCAGTTTAAATTATTTTATTTTGCTGTGGGAACAATTCACAATGGGTGTTCCCTGGGGAATGGCATCTCATTTCATTTGGGAAAGTAATTTTTTTAATCTGTTGAGAAGTATTATATTTTTGTTTTAGAAATGAATGAAAAATAACTTGTGATGATTAGATATCAAACCTTTTTTACGATATTTTTTTAAACAAATTATTTCAAGATTTGAACCTCAGGTCTGGTTACTGCAACAATGATCAAATGTTACTTGTCCATGTTTGGTGAATTCTCTAGTTGCTATGGCAACTTTTCAAATGGACTTTTTCTATAAAAATAATCTTTAAATATTACAGACCATTTTTTTTAAATTTTAATCATCTAAATATGTATTTGGGGTGGGGAGGTGGGGAAACTAAAAGATTTTATAGAGCACTCAACTAAGGTAACTTTCGCCCCTTAACACAATTTTTTAACCTGTTGAAATGTCAGATCAATTTTGCTCACTTATTTATTTTCACCTGCATATCAAACTTAAGTTATTTACCATTCATTTTTACCTCTACAAATATAAACCGATGAAACATGCACCTCTCTTTCATTTCTCAACTATAAATATATCACCCCATGAAAGAATTAGTATTGATCTGTCAGATAATAATGGACTGTAGAGCATTCAGTGGTTTAAACATTTTTATTTCCTGTAGATTCCACATTGCCCCAAGCTTCTTATGTTGTATCACTAAACTATTGTACTAGATGATGAATGTGCACAGATCATATTGTCCCACCCCGGATAGCCAGGTTTATAAGATTCCTTATTTATTGAATCTACCGGCTGATACTGTACTAGTAAAACCAGTGGAGAACTAGGCCTCTTCTGCATTTGTTTACAAACATGTCATCCCATACTACTTGGTTGTAAAAAAAATAAAAGCGTATATTATCTATGCTTAAGAGTGTAGACCTATATAGCCAGAGAAATACATCAATTTAAGTCAACAGAAAACTCATTTTTAAGTGATTGTCAACGCATGAGTAATGTAAATAAATCATTGTTTTAAAATTATTAAGAAAGTCATTTGAAAAACTAATTCAATAGACTTAAACTTAAAAAAAAAAAAAAAATCTAACAAAAAAAAAAAAAAATTAAAAAAAAAAAGATAAAAATAAAAAATGTTATAAAAAAAAAAAAAATGTTATAAAAACAAAAAATATGCAGTATGTGAGGTTAGGAGTAATGTATGGAACAGCAAGTTTGAGCACAAGGAATAAATCAGTTTGAGGCTGGTTACTACTAAATACTAAATGGGTTCTGTAAATAAAACTAGAGAAGTAGAACTGATGGATGGGAGGGACATACTCGGTGTCTGTATGCTAGAGGGTTGGCTTTTTCACTGCAATTGGTCAACTTGTTTGAATGATTTAGATGTGCTTTATTTTTAAGATAATTTTTATTTAATATTATTCAGAATATTTTTTCTTGATGTTAATGGGACAATGCCGTTTTTATTGATATACCGGCTTCTATGAATGGAATAGATTTACTGCAGTAAATCTTTATGTTGTGTTTGAAAACTGGTATGAAAGGAATAAAAAAAAAATTAAATAATAAAAAAAAAATGTAAATATATGCATGTGTGAAGTTTTACATTCAATCTTATTTGATTGTAAAATATTCAAATTTAAAAAAAAAAAAAAAAAAAAAAGTATAAATATAAATTACAAAAAAAAAATTAAAAAAAAAATAAAAACAAAAAAAATATAAATAAAAATATAAAATGTAAAAAAAAAAAAAAAACTAGACTTAATGCATGTATATAACTTCTGGTTTGTTGGCTTTTTATACACCAATGAAAATGCAAATTGTATTCCATGTGCCACAGCAGTGAGGCATGCGTACATGTGAACTCATGTGATCATTTTAATGTTGCCATCATTCACTAATTGCCTTCTTCTCCTAGGGAGAGATTTCAAACAAACCATTCCCCCGTTCCCCCTCCATATTTATTCTAACCAATCTGTTGATGATCCTGCCATCACAGCATGTACATTTCATTGGAGTCATGAGTTATCAGAGCACAGATGTAAATAATATAAATAAACCTTCATCACATCACTAATCAATGCAAGCCAAACACACTGGCCTAGTTTTCCCCTGGTTTTATTTAACTAAAGGGCTTTCTCTTAATAATTTACAAATGACTTGAATCATGTTTTTTTTTTTTGTGGATTGTTTTGAGCGAAGATTTCACAGTATTTAACTCATCCTCATTTTTTTTTTTAAGTTGATATGTTGCGCGGCTTTTCTGAAGGCCATCTGCTAGATTCAGTCCATGACTAGATGGATAGAATAGCAGAGTAAATGCTCAGTTTGAATGAGGGCAAGCGAGGTCATTGTTTTTTTTCTAAAGTACACTAGTTTGATCAAATTTTGTGTCCAGCAATTACAAATATCAACTATGTAATGAACATTGAACTGACAAAGTCAGTTTTATTAGTCCTCTGTGAGGCTATAAACATAATTAAAATTAATATTTATTTATACATATATATATATATTTAAGAGATTATATATGATTATGATTGAGTTATGATATGCAATTTGATTTTTATTTTTGAATCGTCAAATTTGGATTTAAAAAGTGTTGTTGATCTCTGCATGTCAATTGTTAGAAACCAAATGTTTTAGATGCACACTTTGTTAGCAGTGAACTCATTGATTGTCTAGTGTTTGACTGCCCTTGTCTAATGAATGCATTGTCATCTGCCCCGCTTTCACCTTATAAATAATCATACTGATAAAGGCAGCAGAAAAGGTTGGATATTCTCATCTTGTCATTTCACTTGATGTGCTCTAGCTGGTTGGTGAACCTTGTAGTTGGATGATGGAAGAGTGCTAAACTTTGTGACACATGAGCTAGACTGGCCCCCCCTCTCACTGTGATAAGGTTCAAACCTCACCCAGCCAGTCGGTCACAGCAATGGGGACACAGACACTTAAAACTTTTTTTTTCAAATTTCTGAGTCTCTTGTCTATTGACATTGGTCTTTCAGTATTTTGGGATAGAATGTTGTTGAGAAAAAAAAAACATGAAAAAAGTGACCTTACTGTTTCCTTGTGATATCATCTAAAAATTAAATGGCCATTTTGGTTGACCCATAATCATTTCTTAGATTAAAGAGTTGAAGCTATTTATCTCCTCCGCCCCTTCCCCATTTGTGTGTACAACAAGCAAAGCCATTCTCCTGGCGTGTGTCACAAATGATTTAGCGGGTCCACGCTTGAATAGTAGATGCTTTGTTTGTAGACTATGATACTAGCTGATGTTCACTATTGTTTGTTGTCCTTAGCATATTTACTCAGGAAATGTATTCATTTTTTTTCACTGCTTTCCACCCCCCCCCCCCCACCCCCCCCCCCCCCCCCACCCCCCCCTACCCTCCCTGTTCCCAACGCCCTCATTCCCTCTTGATCATATATTGTTCTAGATAACTTTTGTTTTATATTGCCAACCGTTTAACAGGAAATGTAACATTTTGTATCACAGAATATTTCTATCACTTGATATTGTTGTTAGAAGAGTTGTTGATTATTTATTGCTATGATATATGAAAGCAAGCGTAGAGCACTATTGCACAAATGTTGAATGATACATTTTTTTTTTGTTTACACTAGAAATGTTGTGAGCTTAAGATGAGATCTTGTTGATACTAGCAGCCCCGCCCCACCCCTTACTGAGTGACCCAGTGTTTTTTTTACCTGCTTGTACCTGTGTAATCACATTGTATAGAAAGTGAAAGTAGACAACTAGCATTCCAGTGTAGTGCATGCCAAGCTCCTGGGGTTTGAACAGAAGCATTAGCAAACGGGTTTGATTGTTTCCCTTAAACTTGATGACTGGCTCAGATTTTAGTTATGTTTTGTTTGATTTAGTTTTTGTCAACAAATTTGTACCTGTATTTTTATGCTTTTTTGCTGTCTTAAATATGCTTTTTTTAAAGTCGTTTCCAGAGTTTTCAGCATTTATGGAATTAGTTTTTTTTTTTTTTAAATTGCCACATTGGGTTAGTGCTGTTTAGATTTGCCAGACTTATCTATGCAAGTGTTTGTTAGAAACCTTTAACACATTGCTTGATGTGACGTGTGGCTTATTTTCTTCTAGTTTTTATGGTTGATATTTTTTTAGATGATGCTAGCCTGTAGTAGTCTTGCAGATATTTTCACTGTTGAATTGTTTGAAGAGAAAATGGAGTTTTTCAGAACACAATCTTCCATCCAGTTAGCTGTTGTGTATAGCTGGAGGCAGTAGAGTGTCTGTGTAAGTGTAGTCTGAGATCACACCAGAACAAACCTCTGGCATAGCCGGTGGGATATCAGCATTTTTCTCTCCATGTTGTGGCATGTTACTCCCTTCAAACTAAATGGGCCTAAAATTTGTTTCATTTTTTTTTTTTAACATCATTGTTCCATCTGTCACTCCACACCACCTCTGTTCCCCCCCTCCCTCCATCCCTATCCTCTGAAACTTATCAATGCCTTCCACAAAAGGTTTGAAATGGAAACTGTGATATTGGTCCATCTTGACTCATCAGAAATGTTCACCGCCTCATGTTAACATTAACTGCCAGATTCAGGCACTGTTTTTATTTTTTTTTTCCTCTCTTGGAACTGAAAACTCAACCAACTGTGTAGACCTGAGTTCCAGCAAATTTCTTTGCTGACAGCCAACCACATGATTCATGTGGGTTTTTTAAAAAATAATTTTAATTTTTTTTTTTTTTTTGATGAAAAGAAATCATGCTATTATTGCAAATAGGGCATATTCTGAGGGGGCATTTGTGCATTTTATGGCACATGACTGATTCAATGTGTCATTTTTCTAACCAATGTTATCATTGTACAAGACACTCCTAGTTTGTATGGTTGATAGCTGGCCATGGTTCAAATGACCATCACTGTGATGTTAGCTAGGAGAAATATGGGCGATGTTTAATGTAGAGTTTGTTTAAGTAGACGTAGATCTGAATTCATGTTAGCACAAAGTGTGTGTGGACCTCCATTGTTTTGTTGAGAATGTCATCACAACCTAATGATAAAATGTATCCATACAATGAAAATGCCTGTGCCCCCATTGTAAATTTAAAATCGGATCTTTCAGAAGTAGTTTGAGAACACGTTTTATGAACCTAGAAAATATGAAAGTTTCGGGTTCAATTTTTGGACTGAGAAATAACTTTTTTACTTGACTTTTTACTTGTTGACCCCCTTTTGTTGACGAATAATTGATTTGTTGACTAGGTCAAGTCAACTTTAGAAATTTAAAAATTGCTTTTTAG